GAGCTCCTCCTCCTCTTCCTCCTCCTCTTTCTACCCTCTCAAAAGATCCCAACTTGCTCTCTTTAAGAGCCTGACAAGTGAAAATAGAGCTATCAGAAAGGCAATGAAGAGAGTGAAACCCCAATGCAATAAGCTGCAAATTGATCAGCTGTAGTTATGGAAACCAAGCCATGAAGTTATAATCCTATCAGACAATGGGGGAGCGTTTTCAGCTTCCACCATGGGCTAGGCAAGAGTACATTTTCTTGAAAGCACTGGTTTCGGCAATGACTCTTGCTCCCAGCTATTTCAGCGAGATACTGATATCCCAGTCGATACTGTAATCAGAGAAATCCCCATTCCAAGCACTTTTCAAAACTGCATTCAGAAGGTGTAAGGCGTGATGGAGACAAATGGTACGGGCAAACCTTTGCCTTGCTTCTCCATCATTTACAAAAATGGAAAGCACCGAAAATATTACAGGGTGGCATCCATTTGTGTCTGTCTGTGAATGCAACAGATTTGCGCAGTGGGGCTTCCCATTCCTCTTTCCCCCGCTCTGTCCCCCCACCAATCTAGAGGAATGCAAGACCAGAAACAGATTTTGGGTAGGGGTGGGGAAAAGCACAAGGAATTGGAGGAGAAAGAACTGCTTCAGGTGGAAGCCCGTTTGTGCAATGCTGGGTGTCACACTGTACCTTTTCTCTTGAACATTTGGGATAATGACACAGCTCAATGATAAAGCATAAGCTTCGAAAGCTAAAGGTTTGAGGTTCCACCTGCAGCATCACTAGGTAGGGTGAAGAAATACTATTGTCTGAACACCCTGGACAGTAGCCACTGCCAGTTAGTGTAATTGTAATAATAATATTAATAATAACCCAGCCAGATGGGTGGGGTATAAATAATAAATTGTTGTTGTTGTTGTTACAGTGGTACTTCGGGTTACAGACGCTTCAGGTTACATATGCTTCAGGTTACAAACTCTGCTAACCCAGAAATAGTATCTCGGGTTAAGAACTTTGCTTCAGGATGAGAACAGAAATCGTGAGGCGCTGGCGGCGCAGCGGCAATGGTAGGTCCCATTAGCTAAAGTGGTACCTCAGGTTAAGAACAGTTTCAGGTTAAGAACGGATCTCCAGAACGAATTAAGTTCTTAACCCGAAGTATCACTGTATTATTATTATTACCCCACCCATCTGGCTGGGTTTCAACTGTAGACACAACTGAGCTAAGTGTGACTTCAAACAAATCAGCCTCCCCTGATTGATTGGGTTTCAATAAATCAAAAGAAGTAAATAACCGGTGTGCGAAGGACGTCTCTCCGTTCAGCCTCAACTACATATGTTGTGAAGTTGCAACACGCAGCAGCAGCTTCCCAACATGTGCAGTTGTGGCAAAACAGACACTTGCTTTTATTACACTGTACGTTATTACAGCCATGCTGTTTCCATTATAGCGGCTCTGTCTTCCAAGGTTTCGTATGATCTGAGGAAGATGGGGGTGGGTGGTGGGTGGGACCTTTGCTATTCCAAGTATGTAGAATGAAAGTTGCATCCTCCTGCCGAAATGCAGGCAGTTGCGTCTGAGTGTGCAGAGTGCATCAAGGAAAGCAGAGAGCAAAGTTTGATGGCCAGTATTGCTAAGATCCAGCATCTTAAAAAGCAGAGACATCACCTTGCCAACAAATGTCCGTATAGTTAAAGCTATGGTTTTCCCAGTAGTGGTGTATGGAAGTGAGAGCTGGACCATAAAGAAGGCTGATCGCCGTAGAACTGATGCTTTTGAATTATGGTGCTGGAGGAGACACTTGAGAGTCCCATGAACTGCAAGAAGATCAAGCCTCTCCATTCTTAAGGAAATCAGCCCTGAGTGCTCACTGGAAGGACAGCTCATGAAGCTGAGGCTCCAATACTTTGGCCACCTCATGAGAAGAGAAGACTCCCTGGAAAAGACCCTGGTGTTGGGAAAGATGGAGGGCACAAGGAGAAGGGGACGACACAGGACGAGATGGTTGGACAGTGTTCTCAAAGCTACCAGCATGAGTTTGACCAAACTGCGAGAGGCAGTGGAAGACAGGAGTGCCTGGCGTGCTCTGGTCCATGGGGTCACAAAGAGTCGGACACGACTAAACGACTGAACAACAACAACAACACCGTCAGGTGCTGGTGTTTCTCCTCCTTTGTTTGTATAAGAAGCTTTGGGGAGCAGAATAGCAAAAACAAATCAGTGATAAATGCATCCAGATGTTTCCAGGACCTTCTCTCTCCACCTCGAGCATGGTTAGGGCACCTTTCTCAGTTGGAGGGCATCACTCCTTCTGCACAGTCCTCTGCAAGGCACATCGTACTGATGGTGGGTGAGGCCAAAGCGGGCAGAACAATGACTGTAAGTTTCACCTTTGTATAGGAGGCGGGTTTCTACAGGAGGCTGCATCCAGGAAAGAAAAAGTCTTTATTAGAGTTCAAAGAAACATTCCAGCTTGGCAGAAAGCGGTTACAAAGCAGGGCTTTGTCAATTTGATTTGAACTAATTTTATAATGAATGATTTTAGAATTTTGTACTATCTTATTGTTGTTAGCCGCCCTGAGCCCGGCTTCGGCTAGGGAGGGCAGGATATAAATAAAATTTATTATTATTATTATTATTATTATTATTATTATTAGGAGGAGGAATGTGGCATAGCTGTAGGAGGAGCGGCCTAGACAGAGTCCCAAGGGCCAGACAAAGAGGTTCAGGGGCCACAGTCAGGCCCCAGGCATGAGATTCTCCATCCCTGTCTTAAAGGGAGCTCAGCCCTGATAGGATTTCCTGAACTTTTCATGGCTTTTCCACTTCATTTTATTTAACAAAAAATTATATACAACTTGGTTTTTTTGGGGGGGGGGGCACTGCTACTGAAAAACCTCTAACAGCAACATAAAATAAAAGATTAAAATTATCAACAAAAACAGGTTAAAAACATTCAAAAGATCATTAAAATAAACAGTAGCTCAAAAGAGATAAAGCACATGTTTAGGGAAGTTTCTAATGTTCAATTTTTTATTGTGTTTTTAATATTCTGTTAGCAGCCGCCTAGAGTAGCTGGGGAAACCCAGCCAGATGGGCAGGGTATGTATAAATAAATGAATAAATAACTTTTCATGTCTGGACATCCTTGCCTAAACAGAAATGTTTTAAGCAGATGCCAAAAAGAAAGAAAAAAGTGACAGTACCTGCCTCATGTCAACAGGCAGGCAGTTCCAAACTTTAGGTGCTGCCACACTAAAATATTGATTCCTTATATACCGTATTTTTCGCTCTATAAGATGCACCAGACCACAAGACGCACCTAGTTTTTGGAGGAGGAAAACAAAAAATATTCTGAATCTCAGAAGCCAGAACAGCAAGAGGGATCGCTGCGCAGTGAAAGCAGCAATCCCTCTTGCTGTTCTGGCTTCTGGGATAGCTGCGCAGCCTGCATTCGCTCCATAAGACGCACACACATTTCCCCTTACTTTTTAGGAGGGAAAAAGTGAGTCTTATATTTTTTTTTTTAAATAAATTTTTATTAATTTTCCAAACACAAAATAAAAAAAAAAAAACAAACAATACACAATACACCGACATACAAACATATAAACATGTATAATTTCATAACCATTTTTTCATAAACCTTACTTTCCGGACTTCCCCATACCTCCCCTTTTCTGCATCCTTGTTTTATATTTCTTCAGCAACTCCTCAGTCGACTAATTATTCAATTCAATTTCTTTTAAGTTCTTCTAATATTGTTAATTACAGCTGCAATTCTCTGTTTCCCAACCCCTTGACATTTTAACATTCCTGAATTTTACAACAAGTTCTAAGATAAACTTTGAATTTCTTCCAATCTTCTTCCACTGTCTCTTTCCCCTGGTCACGGATTCTGCCAGTCAACTCCGCCAGTCCCATGTAGTCGATCACCTTCGTCTGCCATTCTTCCAGTGTGGGTAGTTGTTGTGTCTTCCAATACTTTGCTAGAAGAATCCTTGCTGCTGTGGTCGCATACATAAAAAACGTCCTGTCCTTCCTTCTCACCAATTGGCCGACAATGCCCAGGAGAAAAGCCTCAGGTTTTTTAGGGAAGGTCCATTTAAGAACCTTCTTAATTTCATTATAGATCATTTCCCAAAAAGCTTTTATCCTCGGGCAGGTCCACCAAAGGTGATAAAAAGTACCTTCAGTCTCATTACATTTCCAACATTTGTTATTGGGCAGATGATAAATTTTTGCAAGCTTGACTGGGGTCATGTACCACCTATACATCATTTTCATAATGTTTTCTCTTAAGGCATTACATGCCGTAAATTTAGTACCGGTGGTCCACAGCTGTTCCCAGTCAGCAAACATAATGTTATGACCAATATCTTGTGCCCATTTTATCATAGCTGATTTCACCGTTTCATCCTGTGTGTTCCATTTCAACAGCAGATTATACATTCTCGACAGATTCTTAGTATTGGGTTCTAACAGTTCTGTTTCTAATTTTGACCTCTCCATCTGGAAACCTATTTTCCTGTCCTGTTTAAATGTCTCGTTTATCTGAAGGTAGTGCAACCAATCTCGCACTTTGGACTTTAATTTCTCATAACTCTGTAATTTAACTTTTTCCCCATCTTGTTCTAAAATTTCACAATATTTTGGCCATTTAGACTCCATATTAAGTTTTTTCACCTCTTTAGCTTCCATTGGTGACAACCACCTGGGAGTTTTACTTTCCAATAAATCTTTATACCGCATCCAAACATTATATAATGCTTTCCTAACAATATGGTTTTTGAAACCTTTATGCAGTTTTACCTTATCATACCATATATATGCATGCCAGCCAAATCTATTGTCAAACCCTTCTAGATCCAAAATGTCTGTATTCTCAAGAAGTAGCCAATGTTTCAACCAGCAGAAAGCCGCCGATTCATAGTAGAGTCTTAAGTCCGGCAGGGCAAACCCCCTCTATCTTTTGCATCAGTTAGAATCTTAAATTTTATTCTGGGCTTTTGCCCTGCCAGACAAATTTAGATATATCTTTCTGCCACTTCTTGAAACAGTCCATCTTGTCCAAAATCTGCAATGTCTGGAATAAAAACAACATTCTAGGCAATACATTCATCTTGATAACAGCAATTCGACCTAACAAAGAGAGTTTCAACCTTGACCATATTTCTAGATCTTTCTTTACCTCTGTCCAACATTTGTCATAATTGTCCTTAAATAAATTCACATTCTTAGATGTTAAGTTTACCCCCAGATACTTTACTTTTTCGTTATCACTAAACCTGTGTCATTCTGAAACTTCTCTTTTTCAGCCAATGTTAAATTTTTGTCCAACACTTTCGTTTTCTGTTTGTTCAGTTTAAATCCTGCTACTTGACCAAATATCTCAATTAGTTCTAATACTCTTTTAGTACTAGTATCTGGCTGTTGCAAGGTCAGTACTAGGTCATCTGCAAATGCCCTTAGCTTGTAATGTCTAGCTCCGACTTGTACTCCTTTAACCAACTGGTCTCCTCTAATCATGTTTAACAAAACCTCCAGGACTAATATAAAAAGTAAAGGGGATATTGGGCACCCCTGTCGTGTACCTTTTTCTATAGATATTTCTTCCGTAACCACATTGTTTACAATTAACTTTGCTTTTTGTTTAGAATATATTGCACCTATACCGTTTTCAAACCCTTGACCTACCCCCATCCCTTGGAGATTCTTCTTCATAAAGCTCCAACCAATATTATCAAAGGCTTTCTCCGCGTCCACAAAAATTAAAACAGCCTTCCTATTGATGTCCACTTCTAACAGTTCCAAAATGTCTATAATGTTCCTCACATTGTCCGACATATGTCTCCCTGGAAGAAAGCCAGTTTGGTCCTTATGAATCTCCCCTACCAACACTCTCTTCAGTCTTTTTGCCATAATGTCTGCAAAAATTTTGTAATCCACATTGAGTAATGATATAGGGCGGTAGTTTTTAACCTGGTTCTTTTCAGTCTCAGTTTTCGGTATAAGTGAAATAAAGGCTTCTTTCCACGACTCTGGTGCCTTTTTCCCTCCAAAATTTCATTACATACTTCCTTCAGTGGTTGTACTAACCATTCCTTCAACGCTTTATAATATCTGGCGGTCAAACCATCTGGTCCTGGAGATTTTCCCAATTGCATCTTCTGAATGGCACCCTCTATTTCTTGTCCTGTTATTTTCTCATTCAAAATCCTTCTGCTTTGCTCTGAAATTTTTGGTAATCCATGTTTCTTAACAAATTCTTCTATTTCCTGTTCGTTGACTGGCCCTTGTGCATATAATTTCCTGAAGTAACTTTGAAAACAATTACTTATCTCGTTTGGTTTGTGGATAATCTTTCCATCCACTTCTAAACTTGTCACAGTGTTCAGTTTTTGCCTCTTTTCAATTGCCATGACAGAAATTTCCCACATTTATCTGCTGATTCAAATGTCTTTTGTCTCATTTGCTTTATTTTCCATTCTATCTCTTGATTCATCAATTCCATATATTGCACCTGATAGTGCTTTATTTCTCTCAGAATCTCATGGGACTTTGGTTTAGACCTCAATTTCTTTTCACCTTCTTTTATTTTTTCCAGAATTTTTTCTTTCCTTTCATTTTGATTTTTCCTCTTTATGGAGTTCTGTTGTATTAGGAAACCTCGCATCACGGCCTTACTTGCGTCCCAGATTATTCTTTTTTCCACTTCTGTTCTCAAATTTATCTCAAAGTAATCTTTCAGTGTTTTTTGGGCCTTCTTATAAATCTCTTCATCTCTAAATAGGGTGTCATTCATTCTCCATCTAAAGGATCCAGTTGATGTTAGTTTCATCTCCATCTTTACAGCATTATGGTCGGAGCAAGTCTTTGAGCAGATTTCTACCTTTTTGATCCTTGGCGCCATACTGCTAGTTACCCAAATTTGGTCAATTCTTGTCCATGTCATTTTTGCTTCAGAGAAAAAAGTTCCCTCTCTCTCAAGAGGGTTCCTTGTTCTCCAAATGTCAATCAAGTCCATAGTTTCAGTCATTTCAAAAAAAGTCTTTGGTAGTCTCCCTTCCTTGGAAATTACTTGTAAAAGAGAAGACTCCCTGGAAAAGACCCTGGTGTTGGGAAAGATGGAGGGCACAAGGAGAAGGGGACGACACAGGACGAGATGGTTGGACAGTGTTCTCAAAGCTACCAGCATGAGTTTGACCAAACTGCGAGAGGCAGTGGAAGACAGGAGTGCCTGGCATGCTCTGGTCCATGGCGTCACAAAGAGTCGGACACGACTAAAC